AGAGAGAGAGAGAGAGAGGAAGATGGGGGGTGGGGAGTGATGGTCTCTCGCCATCAATGACATGAATAGTGGAGAAGGTGACAACATCAGAGGGTACAGAGGGTAGTTGAAAGCATAAAATATATAGCAAACTTCTCTGTCCTTGAAAGTTTTACCTGTCAGTAACCAAATGTCTTGAAAATGTTGCCTGCCAGCAATAAAATGTCTCGCTCTATCCATCTTGAAAGTTTTACTTGTCAGTAATTAAATGTTTCACTCTATCCATCTTGAAATCTTTACCTGCCAGTAACGTAATGTCTCGGTCCATCTTGTATGTTTTACCTTGAAGTAAAATGTCTTTATCCATCTCGAAAGTTTTACTGGTCAGAAATAAAATTTTCTTTCCATCTTGAAAGTTTTAATTGCTAGTAACAAAATGTCTCTCTCCATCTTGAAAGTTTTACCTGCCAGTAACAAAATGTCCCTGTCCATCTTGTCCAGAGCCTGCCTGAGACTCTCGGCCCCCGCCCCTCGTGTTTGCTTCACCCAAGAGATGAGGACTTTCTCCACCCTGCTCGTAAGGTCAAAGTTCGTGAACTTGCCGATGTCCTCAAGGCTGTCAGATGATAGACCTAGCATCCTGCCTAACCTGTGCCAGTCAGATCCTGAGATATATGGGAAGAAAAAGACAACATGTAGTTATACATTCCCAGAAGCTTCATAATATTACTTTACAGAACAAATGGAAAATGTGAGAGTATTTGACAAGATGCATTCACAGCTAAATCGTGCCTAGCTATGCTGATAAAGCTAGATTTTTTATGCACTAACTTTTCTGGAATAACGTCATGCTATCCACAAATGTGTAATTTATGTCCTGTCTAGAGAAATATCCTACTATCTGGCGAAATGTTTCAATATTCAGAGAAATGTCACTCCAATCCAAAGACATTTTGTCCTCCTATCTAAAGAAATGTTCCACTGTGTTGTGAAGAAATATCGAACTATCTGGGGAAATGTAATAATATTTAGAGAAACGTTGTCCTATCTAGAGTAATGTCGCTCTATCAAAAAACATTTTGTCCTATCTAAAGAAATGTGAGGCATGCAAACAAAATGAGTTACTATCGGATTTTTAGCCTAATGGAAATAGAATTGTCCAATTTATAGGTTGAGTTTTTACAATTTATAAGTGTGAAATGATAAAAAAACATGTTAAACTTGAAGAGAATGAAATTGGTTTAAAATCAATAAATATGACCTTTGTATTGATTTTTGGCCTATGCCTCCATTCATGGATTGCGAAAAGAAATTCATTTTGTCAGCACGCTTCACAAATGTCCCACTGTGTTGAGAGGAAATAAATATTCGTACCGACAAGTCTCTCGAGCTTGCTCATGGAGTCGACGATGTCTGCGGGAGGTTTGCTGTCGCCGAGTGTCTCCCCGCGCTGGACAGCCGCCGAGACCTGGCTCAGCAGTTTGCTCACCGCTGACATCTTACACGTGCATGACCCTGACCTTTTGCTCAGGCCCGACAGTTGGTCTGGGAAATAGTGAAAGATAATTATAATTATAATGATGATGATAATATTAATAATAATAATAACGAGGTGTTAATCTATACCCAAATTTTGGGTGTAGAATAACAAACGTTATTATAAAACCGAATG